ACGTATGGCCCAGGGAGGGCCACAGATCCCGAGTCTAGCCCAAGGAGGGCTCCTGTTCCTGAATACGGCCCAGAGAAGGCTTCCATTCCCAAGATTATCCCAGAGAGGGCTCCTGTTCCTGAATTAGGCCCAGAGAAGGCTCCTGTTCCTAAGTTTGGCCCAGAGAGGGCTCCCGTTCCCGAGTTCAGCCCTGAGAGGGCTTGTGTCCCCGAGTCCAACACAGAGAGGGCATCCGTTCCCAAGTTCGGCCCAGGGAGGGCGTTTGCTCCTGATTACAGCCCTGAGAGCCCGGAGGCTCAGAAATGCCCAACCACCCTCCCGCTCCTGCCTCCTCCATCGCTGTCGTCTGGCAGCCCCTCTGCTCACCCTCAGCCCACCATCTCTTCGGTGCAAGCACCATGGGTCTGCCAGTCTCCATCGTCGGCGTGGCTGGAGAATCCCTGGCCTCCGCCTCGGCCCGTCGACCCAGCACCTCCACCATGGCTCCTAGCTCCCTCCTCTCCGCCGTGGCCCGTCAGTCCATTGGTTCCGCCGGGCTCTCTCGTCCCTCTGGCTCCACCTTGGTCTGTCGTCGACCATCCATCGCCTCGGGACTCCACTCCTCCGGCTGTGGCCTGGGTCCCACCTGGCTCCGCCTGCTCCAAGCCCCTCCTGTCTCCTCCCTTGCTCCTCCCACCATCGTCTCTACCAAGGACTCTGTGTGCCAGCCCCATCCCGGGTGCCCGTCCTCCTCCAGAGCCTCCTCCCAAGTTTCCACCCGTCCCTCTCTCTGTTGTTTCTACGGCGCGAGGACGCGCCTTTCGGGAGGGGGGGCGATATGTCAGGAATATCGACCTGTTTTGTTGTGTTTTCCCTCCCCATGTGCTCCGTGACCCAGTTTCTCCCGTGCTTGATTGCGTTCATGTCATCCAGGTGTGTCTTGTAATTACCCTCATTACCCCATGTATTTAAGTCCCAGTCTGTGCTGTCTGTCTTTGTCGGGCCTACAAACGTCATGTTCGTGTGTTACAGCCATTCATAGTGTGGATTACCCCCTTGTTTTGGATTTATTAAAGACTGTCTCTCCGATCCACATCTCCGTTGTTCTCTCTGACACAGTGTGACAGTATGAAGTACCTGCACAATTTATGCTTCCTTTGTTTTTTACTGTGCTGGGCCAGAGCAAAGTCAGAGCCAGATTAGATCAATCAATCTGAACAATCTTCTGATTAGTCAATCTCCTGGCATGCTTTGCATGAAATGACCTTCAGTGATGGCAGAGCACTAGTCCAGTGTGTCATGGTCTGGTCGTCACCATCAGGTAATCGACAGAACTGGCGCCGGAGCTGAATTTGAGGTGTATGACTGGAAGTAATGTATGTGTGGGCTGCTATTCTTATAACACACAATAAGCCACTCATTTTGACCAAATCACATCCTGTCCACTTTCTTGCCAAATAAACGTCATGTCAACAGTCGCAACCGTAAACAAGGGGTCAGACGACTGCGAGGTGGGTAAGAGATGTGAATGGATGTCATGGCAGTCTTCCAACACTGTGTTCTTAAATAGAACCTGGTCATGGAGTGAATGGAAGTTTTATTTATTTTATTTTTTTTCAGGAGACACATTTGGTGCTCTAAATGAGATAAAACATGACCAAAAGAAAAAAAAAACACAAGTATCAGGTTGTAATGTTATCAAGTTCCATGTTGTAATTAATGTTTTGGTTTCTTGTGCCTTGCAATTCAAATAAAGCTCATGTAACCAATTATTTATTTTTGTTGAACATACCAATGACACAGTGTAGGAGTTTCTAGAGTAGCTAACAGCAGAGATTATTGTTAATTTTAAAGGGAAAAATAATAAACTCAGAGTAATTAGAACCACTGGACCTTTGCTTGACCTATTCGCCTTAAGTGTCCTACTTTCATAAGAACCCCCATTTCCCTTCAGTCTCTGAAAGTCTGGGTTCAGGAAGGTCGGTTTGGGGAGGAGATGGATTTAATTCAATACAACATTAAACTCCAAATGAGATTCTTCCTGTCTGAGACCAGAAAGAGCTCAGGACCAGGCCGAGAATGGGTGGGTGAGGAAACTCACAGGTCGCTGGGTTCAATGAGGGCCAGAGGGGCGACGGGAAGAAGAGGTCATGATGACTTTTATATTCTATTGAACCAACTACAAAGTGGCAAGCTGAACTTGTTAAATGACAAATGAATCTGTATTACATTATCTGTATTATTTGTCATTTTTCAAATTCAACTTGTAATTTTGGAGTCATGCTGTTCAAAAATATCATAGGTTTGCATGTTGTTTACATGCAGCTTTATTTTGTAGTGCTGGCATCATGCATGCATGATTTTACAGCAAAATAAATGAATCTGCATTACATTTGCCATTTTACAGATTCAACTTGTTAAAAACACATCATAGGTTTGCATATTGTTTACGTGAAACTTTATTTTGTAGTTCTTTCGTAATGCATACATTTTTATAGTGGAATGACAAATTAATCTGTATTAATAGATTCATTTATCATTTTATAAGTTCAGTTTGTCATTTTTTTGTGATACTGTCCAAAAATATCATAGATTTTTGTTTTTGTTTTTACATCCAGTTTTATTTTGCAGTGATGACATCATGCATATGATTTTAAAATTAAATGACATGAATTTGTATTACAGATTAATTTGTCATTTTACAGATTCATCTAGTCATTTTCTTATTATTCTGCATAAAAAACATCATATGTTTGCATGTTGTTTACATGCAGGTTTAATTTGCAGTACTGGCATCGTGCATATGATTTTATAGCGGAATGACAAAAGAATCTGTATTACAGATTCAGTTGTCATTTTACAGATTCCGCTTGTCATTTTCATACTTTCCAAAAACATAATAGATTTTATATTTTTTACATGCAGACTAGGGATGGTAAGATTCACCGATTTGCCTCGGTGCGTCAGCATAAAAGTTAACGATACAATGCATCGATTTAAAAGAGTGTGCATCGGATACAAGTTGGCATTTGTATCGCAATGCATCGTTTCTAACATATTTGCATATATATATATATATATATATATATATATATAAAAACTATTTATTTATATATAATTATTATTCGATGTGCTATACTTTTATTAATTAGAAAGTGACCAATAATTTGTGACCAATATTTTATATTTAGATTAATTTCTCCTCTCTAAACTGTTTGTCAAGCGCATTCTCTCATCACCACTGCCGCTATGTGAATATGAAGTATCACAACACTAGGGAAACCGAGGCGTGTCCTGAGAGTCACATAGAATATAGATTAACATGGCAAAGGTAGAGCTGCATCTTCCACCAAATAATTATAAGGAACCAAATAAATAAAAGTGAACTATCTGTACTATATTGAATTGCATAGAATCATATTTTTTCCACGGCACCGTATTGCATTGAATCGCATTGTGTTGAATTGAATCAAAATTGGATCGTACTGCATCGTAATAGGGGTGAATCATATTTATGTTTGCATGTTGTTTACATGCAGGTTTAATTTGCAGTACTGGCATCGTGCATATGATTTTATAGCGGAATGACAAAAGAATCTGTATTACAGATTCAGTTGTCATTTTACAGATTCCGCTTGTCATTTTCATACTTTCCAAAAACATAATAGATTTTATATTTTTTACATGCAGACTAGGGATGGTAAGATTCACCGATTTGCCTCGGTGCGTCAGCATAAAAGTTAACGATACAATGCATCGATTTAAAAGAGTGTGCATCTGCATAGAATCATATTTTTTCCACGGCACCGTATTGCATTGAATCGCATTGTGTTGAATTGAATCAAAATTGGATCGTACTGCATCGTAATAGGGGTGAATCATATTGCATCGCATCGGTAGCTGCTTCATATGTATCTTTAATGTATCATATCACTGGCTATGCATCGAGATGCGTATCACACCGGCCTCTGTTATGGAGATGCACATCCCTAATGCAGACTGGTTTTGAAGTTTTGGCATCATACATTTGATTTTATACTGGAATGACAAATTAATCTGTATTACGAATTCCAAAAGCTACATCGGTTTGCATGTTGTTTATGTGCAGCTTTATTTTGTAGTGCTGGCATCATGCATATGATTTTACAGTGAAATCTCTATCACAATCTGTATTACAGATTCAGTCCTCATTTTGCAGATTTTACAAATTTTGCATATTGTCCAAAAATATCATCAGCTTACATACATTTTATGTGCAGCTTTTTTGTGTGTGTGTGTTGATGTCATGCATGCAATTCCACTGTAAAACCATGTGTAGGACTCCAGCACTACAAAATACTGCTGCACATAAACATGCAAATTTGCAAATTTATCATATTTTTGGACAGTTAAGATGGATTCCACATTAAAAAAGCCAGTGATGGATAAAAATGATCCCAAGGAAAGCCTGGCCTTCCAGCCCCAGAAGCACTGCCCGTTGTGTGTGGTTAATGACACACAATTGAGAAGGTAAACAAACTGTCTGGGAACGAATAAATCATTGCACATAGCTCATCAAAGTAAACAACCTGAGGTAAACAAAGCAGACAAGGGCTCCTGTCTCTAGGCAAAATTGCTCCTAAAGATACAACGTACCATGCCAGAGCCAGTTCATGTGATACAGACTCCATTTGATTCGCTCCAGACCTAATCTGTTCAGGATTGCGTGACAGCCCTCTGAGAAAATAAATTATCTGGAGTCCGGATTAAACTTGAGCAAACACTTGGAACGGATGGCTAATTTTCCATCCAAAACTGATCAGGCTAAAATTTCACTAAATTTGGAATGTATCTTTTGTGCGTTACAATGGTATTTTGGCTGAGGTGTTTTAAGACATTCCATTCTTTTGGTTACTTAACAATGATGCTGTGTCTATCAGTCAGACAAACAGAAGAAGTTTATGGTTTGGAACCAAACACTGCCTGAATGTTGTTTGACCTTTGGCCTTTTTCAGCGGTCAGTTGCCTCGCAATGAATTTACCTGTAAATGACCCCATTTTGGTGCAGGAACATGAGGGCTGAGGTCATCTCAGCAGCGTAAAACCGGGAACGAGCTTCATCGAATTTGCGCGAACGCTGGATCTGGAACATCAGGTCTCCGCCATTCACGTATTCCATGACGAAGAACAAACGGTCCTAAAGTGAAGAAACAGAGTAAACAGGTTCATTATTTGACTCAATAAATGCTAATTGTTTAATTTGAAAAATGTCTAATTTCTCATTGCAGTGATTGCAAAACATTACTGCACCCGGAAATCAAGGGCTTAATTTGATGTCTACATACAAGTAGGAATGGGAATTGCAAGGAATTTACAGAGTCTTGATCTCGAGATGGAGATTTGAGTTTTTTTTTTACCTAACTACTAAACAAACAAAAATGTTAAAACACAACACTATTTTTGAAATGGACATTATAGTGTTAGACTGAAAAGTTAGACTCATTTATACTGATTCAAAAGTCATGAGAAGGAGATTTGTGGGTCTTTTTAAACTGAGCCATTACAAAGAATACATGATTTGTTTGCGAACCGGACATAACTCCAGACTGTTTGCCTGAGGTTATGGATTACAGGTAATGATGTTGTAAATAATATTCAGTTTCTTGCACAGACCAGTCGTTTCGCTTCATAAGACCTCAATATATTGTCAGGAGCCATGGGTATTAATTTTGTGTTACGTTTATATGCTTTTTTTGACTCTCAACGTGCCAGTAGCCGTTGACTTGCACGCTGTGAATCACGAAAGGTTTTAGCTAAAAATCTTCTTTATTGTTCTACTGGAGAAAAAGAGTCACTTATATCTAGGATAGCCTGAGGGTGAGTAAATTAACAGCAAATTTTCATTTTTGGATGGACTATCCCTTTAAGAGACATTTGTTCCATTTACATTTTAATACAGTGATCCAACATTCATGAACCTTTAACAGAATCGTAAAAAGTCATGAACATCATTAGTTTCCTTTTTTTTTTTTTTTAAGAAAGTTTCTTATTTTTCAGCCCTAAAGGATTCAGGCATAGGGGAATGCACTTTCAAATGAAAATAATTTTTGAGTGTTTATGAAATCCAACTATTAACCACAACTGGGGTTAAAAGACAAGGCTACAGAATAGCATATAAATGTTGGAAAGTTCAGAGTCAATGAGAGAAGACAGCATTAGAAGAATCCAGCAGCCATTCTCAGAAAACATGAACCCGTTGCCCTGTACGGCTGAATAGAATATATCTCATTATCTTCAGTGGGTCATGCACATCATTTCAAAGAATCAAGATGTATATCAAACCCACACAAACTGCCAGTCCAGCTATGTGACTCATGTCCTAGTCAGCAGACGTAACGATTGGCTGAGGAAATACACTGAAATTTGAACGCACATACTCAAAGATGTTCATTTGGCTGTAAGGAGAAGAACCTGATTTGCATCTTTCTGCAAAAAAACCCATACCTAACAATGGAAAAGGATGCTTTAACAAATTGTTTGCCATCTGAATGTGAAGGAGTTCATTGAGTTCATAGTGCATTTTTTGCAGGTCAGAAAATTTAAACTTGGAATGAAAAAAGGTTACGGCCTGTAGAGAATATTTCCTTTATTGTCTCACCCTATATTCCTTGCTACCTGTTTCTTCTCTCAGAACAATCAGAAGAGAAGTGTAGGTTATTTTTTCAGCCGTTGCAGGCCTCATACAACTGCCTCACATTGGTGATATGAATGATACGCTGATATTTTTTAATTGAAATCATGATTTCATTGTAATCGTATGTCTTATGTAATTGCGGGCCATTCTGCCCTGCTTGTCCTTTTGCTATGCAAGCAAATTTAAACAGGATGCTGAAATAGTTTGTTTAAAATGTGCCCAGAGTCACAGCAAAGGCCCACCCAATCAAATGCCAAAAAACATTTCCTGCCTCTAATTAGAAATGTACAGATACTGGTGCCCCTGCGCCGTGCAAGAGAAAAGGCCCGATCGACAGATAACAACCAAGACTCAACAAGCCGGTCTAACAGAGTGTATCAGCCGGCCTTCATATCTGCGCTACATATGAATGAGTGTTAAAGTACAACTTAAGGCTGGAATACACTGCACTTTACTCAGATTTTTGCCCTGATTTACAGTCTGGACAAGTTGATGCTAGTTGGCAAAAATCAGAGCCTGTCTGCAGATTTGAGTTGACAGATTTCATAGAAAATCTCATTGTGTGTGATGGTCACAGACTTCTATGATTCCTTCCTGTTTGAGGATATCAGAAATGTTTGATATTTTGAGCCGATTTTAGAACACATATTGCTTTCATTTTTATGCATCTCCTAATGACAATGCATGTGAATTTGTTGTGTTCGGAATGTATGATGAACACTCCATCAAAGAACATTCTTCTACATGCTTAATTAAAAAAAAAATAATAATAAAATAAAATAAAACAAGTTTTGGCCCACTTTTCTTCATGGTAATTGTTGTTCCCCACAGTGAGATTACCACACTCCACACTAGCTTATCAAATGACCAGCTTTGTTCGGCTGATAGCAACAGGAAATAATTATAATTTCAGTATGGAGTGTATTGTGTGTGTGGCCCTGGACATTAATCAAGAATGTTTATCCTAGTCCTATGGCTTATAAGAACCAAATACAAGGGGTTCAGAAATCTAAGACTACTAATAAACCTGTTTCTAATTTGCATGCATCAGCATAACACTTTGTGTAAATTTAATTAATACTTATCATTTTAAATGTATCAAAATCCTGATTCCAGTTTAATTAAAAATAAAATAAAAAATTCACTAAAGACAGACTTAGTATCATATAGATTTTTTTTGTTTACAGTAAACAGTAATACTGATAAATATTACCACAATTTAAAACAACAATTTACATTTGAAAATATTTTACAATTAACTTTTTTTTTTTTTCATATTTTTCAGCATAATTTCTCCAGTCTTCAAGGTCACGTGATCCTTCAGAAATCATTCTGATATGCTATTTTGCTGCTCAGTTATTATCAATTATTATTTTTGCTTAATTATTAAAATGTTTCTAATTGTCAATGTAAAAAAATGACAAAGAACTGAACTTAACCAGAACTTTTAAATGTTTATGTGTCATGGTTTCTACAAAAAATATGAAGCAGCACAACTGTTTTCAACATTGGTAATAATAAGAAATGTTTCTTGAGCATCAAATCATCATATTAGAATGATGTCTGAAAGATCATGTAACACTGTAGACTGGAGTAATGATGCTAAAAAAAATCAGCTTTAACATAGAAATAATTTAAAATATATTCAAATAGAAAACAGTTATTTTAAATTGCAATAATATTTCTCAGTATTACTGTGTTAATTTTTGATTAAATAAAAAAATAAATAAATCATAATTATTACAAACTTCTGACCAGTAGTGTACCTGCAAAGGAGGTCATACACTCTTCACTTGGCTTCACTAAATCTACATAGGATACAGATTCATAGATGTATCTGTGCACTGTATTTATTGAAAGGCCTAATCCTAGTGCATTATATAATATCATGTGAAAACAGTGTAACATGTTTTCATATGTGTTGGTTATAAGGGCCTTTTCTATACAAACACAGTAATTTTCTCTATCTTTGGTGCTTGAGGTTCAGTTGAAGGTGAATGCCAGGCGCTGTGTGCTGTATCACAGACTCAAATGAGGAAAGCTGCAGCACTGTGTTTCTAAAGCAAAGGTTTCATTCAGAACAAACAGCCCTCCCTCCAGCCCTTTACATCAGTAATCACAATCACAAATTCAGATAAAAACTGTGGGAAAAAATGGCCCAGATATAGAAAATACCTCAATTTTTTTTCTATTTCTTTGATAAAAAAAAATACAGCAAAAATATTGTGAAATATTATTACAATGTAACATAACTGTTTTCTGTTTGATTATATTTTAAAATGAAATTCATTTCTGTAATGTTAAAGGTGAATATCCAACATCATTACTCCAGTCTTCAGTGTCACATGATCCTTAAGAAATCATTTTAATATGCTGATTTGCTGCTTAAGAAACATTTATTATTATTATCAATGTTGAAAACAGTCGTGCCACTTAATATTTCTATGACACTTTTTTAAGGATTCTTTGATGAGCAGAGAATTTATAAAACTGAATGTATTTGAAACATACTCAAACATGAATGTTGTTGAATGTGTATAGCTACATTTGTTTTATGAATAAAACTCAAATGAGCTCTGAAAACCCTCCTAAACCTGAACCTGTGACAATACACAAGAGTAACTAACATCTAACATCTAACATTATTTACAATTTATTATTTACAAAAAAAATAAATAAAGTTTTAGCTCAAATCAATAATTTCAAACTGACTTCAATTAAATTATTTAATAGAAGTATTTATATGCCAAAAAATACACTGTTATTTGTTAAAATTTCATTATATAGTAAAAAAAAAAAAAAAAAAAAAAGCCCCTGAAAATGAATTATGGTGGTAAATATTGGCTCTTAACAATAAAGTTAATTTTTAACATAAGTAGTCCCGCAGTTTAGATCAATATCTCCATCATTCACAGCTGGCAAAACTTCTGAGTGCAATAAATATTGCAGCAAATGCTAGAAATATAATACACACTTTACTTTGGCATTGGAAACTGACAAATAGAGTCGGTCTAGACCGTGTCGAACAGACTCAGTACAAGAGAAACAGTGAGCTCATGTGAAGTAGTAAAGTAACACACACTGCTACCAGAGACCCTTAACACACACTCCTCTGGCCAAGAAGCTGTCGCTCTTCATTTCATGATGCTTGTCATTACAGCAGGAATGTCTCTCTCAGAACAACACAGTCTTAACACAGCTTATATGCAGAAGCCGTGTTGCTCTCTCTGTCCATCATAATGCTCTTAATTGGCACATTTGGATGCTTTTTCAGGTTTGAGCATGCCACTATGTTCTATATAAAATGCTGTGTATGAGAACATTCAGTTCTGTGAGGAATGTTTCTACAGAGAAACGCTTATTAAGCTCAGTGTAGCGGAGGGTGATGAAAAAACACGGGCTTAGCGAGTACCTGATAAGTGAACGGCGTGAGGTATTCTGCTGTCCTTACACGGATGCAACCTGATACTACACAAATATGATAACAATGGGATATTTATACA